TTTTTAAATTTAAGCGCAGCACTAGACTGGCGTCGAGATCTCATCAATTGACAGTTGCGCTGGCTAGATGTAGCCGTAAGTTCTATGCTAACAGTTTCTTCTCTCACACTTCTTGTTTGTGGAACTTCCTGTTCCTTGCTTTCCAGCCAACTTTCATCTGTAAAAATTTAAAGGCCATGTCAATCGCTATCTACTATCCTCCTGATTAATTCTCTTCTCTTTTTGTTCATCATTATTGTTTTAGTTCCTAATTCTTCTACATCCTGTAAACCTTGTGTCTTAGAGGCTTTACTGCCTTTCATGCGGTGATACCGATAAAAAAAAAAAACATAATTATGGCGAGCTGAAATCAGAACGAAGCTTTGTTACTTTAATTCTGCACTTGTGGAAAAGCGCGAATTCACCTCTTCTCCCCTTTGTTATAAATTAAGTAGCAGGATAGTCTGGGATGTCTACACTTGGGGTAGTAGTAGATTGAGTTTAAAACTATGGCGAAGGCAACGGGGAAACTCAACCACTACCTTTCGCAAGAAGTCTGGCCAATCTAATGCGAGTAAAAAGACGGAACATGGGGAGAGCTTTAATCACCCATGTCCTGCAGAGATATGGCATTAAAAAATTACAAAAAATAACTTAGTCTCGTCGACCCAAGCTGCAAATTTTGGGTGGAGAATGTAGGCAAATGTGTTGTGCTAAATTCCAAGTTGAATTCTGTGACTAGTTTTAAAATCAGTCTATAGCAATATACCGGCCATTCGGTGAAATACGTTACAATCTAAAGAAGGCTCAGTTGTTTGTTTCATACACGCATTTCGCCTGAAGATATGTCTATAATATGAACCTACTAGCAAGTGTGTATAAGGTTTCAAAAGAAACAGCTAATTTGTGCAAACGAAGCATAAATAGCGTTAAAAACGTTTAACTCCGTTTTCACTGAAAAAAAAAAATTGGAGAGCGTTGACTCTTAAATGGAATTAATACAAGCGTGTTCTCGAAGAAGCAAAGTGAGTATTTGCTGATAGGATGAGGCACAGTATTGCCTCTCACAAGTTTGTTTCGATAGATTACTGGCGGCTTCGCAACATTGCGTTGAACAATTGCAAATCCTCAGTCCCTCCTTTCTTCAATTAATTTTAAGTATTCGATAAGGTAATGTGCTTTTCCCGGAAGTTCTCTTCCAACTCCATCTGGAAGACCTCTGCTAGATTTCCTGACTAGAACGGAGGCTATACTGAGTGTCATACGCATAACCCCGTCAGTAATTTCACTAAATTAGACCCCCTCCCCTACACGGCAAGCGGATGTGACGGGGTCCATGCCGAGAAATATAGCAGGAGCATCAGACCAGATATGGCAGCAATATTCACTGCCTGGACGAATGGTAGATTTCTAAATATGCAAGAAAGATTTTGATGAGAAGAATTGTCTGGCAAAATATCGTGAACCAACTTTCTTTACCATCTGGAAATATGAGGCGCAACTTTGTCTCTTATCGACGCATTCTGGAAATTATATGGAATTTCAAAGCTGAGAAATAAGTTCGAACTCCTTATAGTTTTATCCGCTTCTTTCTTCCTCTATTATCAACAAAAACAAAACTCTAGGAGTATGAAAGTATAAACCTTTTTATAGGGAAAATACCAGCGATATATTTTATATAAAAGGAATTACTAACCATACATATTTATAGTAGAATTAACCAATAGATTTCATTGCAAAATGATCAACAATATATTATGGAACCTTGCATTTATTGGAAATATTCATAGAAATATGAGTTAATTTTTTTTTATTCAGTTTATTAAACAGGTTGTTAATTTTTTTTTAAAAAAACGGAAAATAACTTTAGTTGAAAATAATTCACTAAGAATGTACTAGACGATCCTAAGGAAAGAAGAAGGAAAGAAAAGGAAAAGGAAGGAAGGGGAAGAAAAAGAAAGAAAGAGAAATGTATGACGCATGACCCAGTTGATGGTAGAGATAGGTCTGCGTGTGGTCGACTTTATTTTTTTTTTGAAACAAAGGGAAGAATAGAATTGGAAATAATAAAAAAAGAAAGGAAAAGACATGATATCGATTAGATGTCGGTCAGAGGCCTGACCGACTCTTTATCTCATCAATTTGGAGTCAAGAGAAATTTTTATTTTTTTTCTTTTGAACAATAGAAACGAAATTTGTGATCTGAGAGAAAGTGTCTTTGGGTTGGGGAAGTGACCAGTGAAACGATATACGGAATTGACCTGTTAAGAATTGGACACCCACGTTAAGAAAGTAGAGATATTTCGACCTAGATAATTAAGATTTTCGACTATCAGGTAAAACAAAGAAGTAAAAAAGAGAGACAATTGCTTTTGGCTCAAGAGGGCGCCAAGAAGGCGGAAAAGATCCTTTCTAAAGTCAAGACTAATTAGCGGCGGGCTGTTTGACAAAGTCCAGGTGAAAGAAAGCTAAAGATTGTCATTTTGCGTACGTGCAAAAGGTGCAAAATTGATTTTGTTTTTTTAAACAAGAACGATGTAACCACGCCCGCAAACAGAGGGGAGAGGATGTTCGGTCAATAACAATTGGTCGAATACAATCACGTGACCGCGGAAGAAGAAGGAAAGAAAAACCTCGATCAATAACTGTTGGACGAGGCGGTCACGTGGGCTGCGGAAAAGAAGAAAAGAAAGGTTCGATCGGGAACGATTGGTTGAGAGCGATCACCTGACATGAGAGAGAGACTGTAAGAGAAATAGATGACCAAGAGCTCTGTGAGAAAGTAGGGGTGAAAACAATAACGATAATGGAAAGTCAAAATTAATACGACTTTTGAATTATCGAGAAAACCCTGACGCCGACAGACCCACCCCAGTTTGTTGCGGGCGTCAATATAAGCAGGACCCCAGTCGACAGAAATCAGTTTGAGTTGGAGATGCAGCCGGAGTTGGGCTGAGTTGCAGCAGGACCGCGGGCAGGGGAAGATCCTGAACGCGGACATAAAACCCGATTCACTCGCCCCTTTGCGGGCAAAAAAACCCTCAGACAGAAGGACTTCCAGCCCAAGTCGAAGACAGAAGAACTTCCAGCCCAAGTAGACGAAGAAGAAGATTGCCTGAAAGCCTGAGAAGAATTGAGCTGCAGACAAGCCGAAAGTCGATGAGAAGTAAAGTTCATCCCCGGACGGCAGCGAGAAAAGAAACCTCAGACAAGAAGAACTTCCAGCCCAAGTAGAAGAAGAAGAAGAAGAAATACAACTCAAGTCGGAGAGAAGAATCAACTGCGAATGATCGATAGAAATTAGCCCCAGTGTCGAACTGAACCACACCCGACATACATACATGATTCTAGAAAGTAGGTAATTCGACATTTTCCTATTGTGTGTGATAGAAGTTGGTGCCAGTCCACAGAGCGGGTCGGGGAATTGAGAACAATTTTGTTTTTATGTAACGGACTTTAAGATATAAAAGGTTGTTACCCTTTTTATCAGCAATTTTGTTTGGTGTCGTGAGTTTTTATTTTATTTGTGTTTTGCCACCCCCGTCGGACTCAACTTGTATCGGCCCCGATCCTTCTTGGTCCCGTCTGTCTAAGATCTAAACACAAAGGTGGGTAGACAGACCGGAGATCGGTATAGTTGCTTTAGTGACCAGGTATTGAAGCGAGTCGGGAAAGGCGAGGCTGGTGATCATCTGACCAAAGGGTTGGAGCGGCACGCTTGGACCCAGGAGGAACGACCAGGAGGAGCGACGTCACCGTTGGCGCTGTAAACCAAAGGATCCGACACTGGGCCAGGTGTGTAACCGTCACAATATTTTATCTCTAGTTGAAGGCGTATAATTGCGTTCAAAATATATTTAGTTGAAGCTAAAAATTGTTTTTCGAAATGTTTAGATTTCGGGATTAAATAATCCATAGAGATTGATATGCCGCTAAGCAAAATCAACCAGACCAAACTATATATCTGTAAAGTATACTTTTACCCTGAAATTATATAATTATGGACAAAACATCTTTAGTTGAAGGCATACAATTATGTTCAAAATATGAAGTCAAAACTACCGCTAAACAAAATCAACCAACCAAACTTCTATTATTATCACAGAGTGAGGGAGAAACACACCACCAAAGTGACACTGGGCTCGATATATACCAAAAGCGCAATATACCTATTATGACACCCAGTCTGATAAGAGTATACCAGGCACACGCCGTACAGCCAAATATGTGCAATGTGCTTACAAGTTTGAATAAAAGCAGCACACAAATCTTCAGGTGTGTCCTAGTTAGAAATAGCTGCAGGTTTGATATCCCAGTCTCTTCAGATGGCCTCTAATTGAGGGTGTTTTCAAATGTCTAGATCTGACAACCAAGTTGCCTTGTCTGTCACATCCTTCAAACTCACATCAAACCATCATGTTATCCACCCACTCCCGCTCATGAACAGAGATACACAGTGCGTCAGTCCCAAGAAGACATACAAATCTGGTTAGGGGCAGACAACTGACAGGCAAACCTGTGATACTGAACAGGATATTTACTGTAGCCCATTTGAATTCACCAAGACTAAACACACACACACACACACACACACACACATACACATACATACATATATATATATATATATATATATATATATATATATATTAACAACCCCGATGAAGTAGATCAGAAGTCATGAGATCCATGTCCTGTAAAAAAAAACACCAGGGCTTTAATAATAATAACAATAATAATAATAATAACAACTACAGAGTCGGGTAATACATCGACTGGATAATATGTGAAGTGATACATTGAATTTGTTTTTTACGGTTTATCAACCTTTTGCATGTTATTTAAAGTCAGAAAATATTTAATTCTGAGATAATAATGATTTACTGTTTCAAATCCTATTATTTAACCCAAAGGTTGGGAGATAAGATCCCTATTTCGATGATATTTGCGCCTAAGTGAAGATAACGAACCCGAATGAAATTGAAATAGACGTTATCCATTACACCACCCGTGCATTCAAGCTGGTATTCCACAGCGGTCACCCATTTAGGTACTGATCAGGCTCGGCGTTTCTTAACTTCGGTGTCCGGACGAGAACCGCTGTTTCATCGTGACATGCTCGAAAACTGTAAATGATATGAACATCTTCCCGACCCTGTCGCGGAAATAGGTAACATTGTTGTATTTTTGTACCCTGTCATCGACAACTGATAAAACTTTAAGTAAATAATAGCTGACCGTTCGTATCTACTAGAACGGCTAGTCAATCCCTTTTGCAGACCCCCGCTCTGTTACATTTGTGTTTGTTCAACATCCACAGAACCCACCTGTGCTTTATACTGCAAGTATGCTGAGCAGATCTTAGTTACAGTTTCTGGGAGAGGAATCTATCGTAATCAACAGCCTGAACAAAGCCAATGCGCTCAAACCCTCGGTCATGATGACTTACGAATTCGTGCTAGTTCAACTGTCACCGGCCTGAAAATCATACCACAGGTTAACTCAAGCCTTGTGAGTGAAATTGTGTAAACAGAAGCATGACAAAAATATAAAATCTAATCGATAAGGACAATGACATTTGCATAATGATGGATATATGCCAAATCCAACTGATGGGGACGTATTATCTAAAATCTTCGAAGAAGTCTCAAAATATAAAAACTTAGAAATATAGACGATATGGAAAACAAGAGCCACTAACAACACATCAGTATTGGGTGTACTCAGTTTCATTAACAAGGTTACAGACACTTCATTAAGAAAAATACAGGCACAACCTTGGCTACAAATTCCTCACAATTATACTTACCAGCATTGCTCATATCTTGCGGAATACATTGTGCATGTAAATTTTATTTTCGTCCGAAGAAGATCGATTTAGTAATTATGTTAAAATTCCGTTGCCATATATATATATATATATATATATATATATATATATATATATATATATATATATATATATATATATATATATATATATATAAGACCAACACCACTTGTGCTGTAGCTCTGGTTTTGGCGTATATACTATCACAAACATTCAAAATGAAACTGCCACCATATTAGGTTGTTAGGAAAATAATATCCAATTGTAGAATCAACATTTATACCTGAATTATTGTATTTAAACAATGTTTCAATCAGGGAAATATCCCTGAAGAGCGATAAAATTACAAGGTTATTTATGTCTTTGCGATAAAACCCTAACGTTTTGGACAGCAAAAATCTTTGAATGATATTTATGCATCTTCTTTGTAACGGAATGTCTTTTGGCATAAAACATTGTCAAACTGCGTGAAAATGTGGTCGTCAGTGGGCGAGAGATCAGGGAAATATGGCGGTGTTACCAATTTTACGTATGTCGGTGAAATTCAGCAAGGTCAACTTGTCAACATGTGGCCAACTATTGTCATAAAGCAGAATTTGATCTCGTCGTTAACCAATGTCTGTCGTATTTTGCTTAACTGAATATGCCTTTCATCCAGTTGCTAGCAGTAAACATCGGCAGTGATGCACTGGTTAGATTTCAGATACCATAGTTGAAATTGAAAACAGTTACCATAATTGAAATGAAAAATTGTTTGGCTGCTTCGTCATGATCAAGCCATTGAGTCAATCGTTTACGATTGTCATAAAAGATTCATTTCTCATTACAATTCAATATTCAATAAAAAAAAAAAAAAAAATAGATCGTTCGAATTTTGCAGATGCAGCATCGAACAGATTTCGGAACGTTGAACTTTTTCTCGTTGACCGAGTTGATATGGAACTAATTTATCACGTTTCCTTTATGTATGTACCCTAAACACAATCCGACAACGGCAGACTGCGGCCGAATATATGTTCTTTAATCGGAATTCATTAAATCTAATTCATTTTAAATGTTTTGCATAACCTCAATGTCACAGATTTTAAGTTATCTAAATTCTGTCTTTTCTAATGGATAATACAGGGTGTCCATAAAGTTTGTGTGCACTTTAAAAAATTTATAACTTTATTTTTCACACGAACTTTATGGACACCCTGTATTATGTGACCCAAAAGAAGCGCTGATGTTGCCTCACTATACTTCTCTGTACGTTCCCTAAATACCGCCCGACCATGACCAACAGCGGTAGTATATGTATTAGCCTGTCTACATTCATTATGTCAAATATATTTTAAATATTTTTTCTAACACATAATTAACTGCCATTAAGTGATCTAAATTCTTTCTTGTCTCATGGATTACATTATTTCTTCTCGTTTTCCTTTGCTATCTTCTAGGGGACATATTGTAATTTCATTTCTATATCTACTTCCAACACTATTTCATCTGCATATATTTTTGTGTCCACTAATAATGAATCCTGTTATGACTCTTAATCCTCTCAGAATTGCCTCGCCATGTCGGTTGAATAAATCCGGTCGTAGACACATCCTTGTCTTACGCCTCTTGCAATTTTGTGTATCTGTTGAACTCGTTTTCTAAATATGTTGAATAACACGTAAGTAACAGCGTTTCAGTGATCTAAATTCTGCCTTTTCTATTGGTGTATATTACATGAACCAAAGGAAACGCTGCAGTTGGTTCAATATACTTCTAAATCCGTTCCGTAAACACCTCCCAACAAAGAACGTCAATGGACGAATATGTATTAGCCGATCAGCATTCATTATATCTAATTTGTGTTAAATCTTTTGTATAAACATCTAAAAAGAAAGAACGTTCAAGTGAACTAAATTCTATTTTTTCTAATGGCTTCTGTTATGAGCCAAAAGAAACGGTACAGTTGCCTCAATATACTTCAATGCACATTACATAATCACCGCCCAACAACGGCTGACAGCGATCGAACATGTATTAATCAATTTACACTCATTATATCTAATTTATATTAAATATTTTGTATTGCATCTAAGTACAGGATGACCAAAAAAAAAAACAAAAAAAAACAGAACCTACAATTGTTTTTAATAAAACTATTAATATTAATTTTTCTTCTTTTCTCTTTCGGGGTATATAAGTTAACTTTGTGCATGAAATATTGAAACAATAATCTTCCCCAATATGTCTTGGTCAACCAAGGAAAAGATATTTTGCGTGGAGGTCTATATCTCCAACAAGTCATACACAGTGCAAGTAAACTTTCAGAGAAAGTTTCAGTGTCGTCACGCACCATCACAAAGCAGAATTTTTGACTGGGTTCAGAAGTTCAGAGATTATGGGACTGAACTCTAAAGGTCTGAGGGATATTTATTCTGGTCGGAGGGTAAGTGCTAGAACAGAAAGGAACATTAATGCAGGGGCCCAAATAAATCACTTCGACGATGAAATCAACAGCTGGGAATATCTCGAGAGTCTTTGAGGCGTGTTCTTAAATAAGATCTTCATTAGTAGATTTACAACATCCAAATAAAACAAAAAAATTACGGAGACGGACATGAAAAAAAGCGTAACCACGTGTGAATAGTTTTGTGACAATCAAAGACAATCCAGATTTCTTGGGTCATGTTTAGTTCTCTGATGAAGCTCACTTTCTGTTTTCAGGACATGTAAACAGCAAAAACAATGTTTATTGGGGTACAGCCGCGCCGGAGGATGTGTTATAGAGGCTGTTACACGAAACAAATTGCACAGCATGGGTTGCAGTTTCTGAACATGGTATTATCGGTTCATATTGGTTCGAAGACGAAAATAAGAGACCTCGAAAAGTGAATACGGAGCGCTATGTGGCCGTGTTGAAGAATCTTTGGGCATCACTTGGACAACGTAGAAGGAGAGATCGAGGTGAACAGTGGTTCCAGCAAGATGGGGTCACACCCAACACATCAAATGACTCCCTAGCCTGGCTGAGAGGGTGATTTCAGGAGAAACTGATTAGCAGGAAGTGTGACGTTCAGTGGGGACCGCACTCAGCGGACTTGGAACCACCCCCACCGAATTTTTTTTATTTGTGGTGGTATCTCAAGGATAATGTGTACCAGAACAAACGTCAAATGATTGGTGAATTGAAGGCAGCAATCACACCAAAATTCGGAACAGTCAGTGGAAAGATCTGAAACGGAACTGTCAGGACAAGATCTTCGACGACACAGCGACAGTCGATCAGCCGCGACACACGTTACCATGACAACGCGTCGGTCAGAAATGATTTTCCTACATACAAAGCCGTGACGAAGTAAGTCTTTTTCTCCTTGTTCACTGTGTTTTAAAATTACCGCTATCGTAATTATTGTAACTGTAAAATGAGAAGACCTTGCTGCAAATAATAAAGTCTAGGTACCATACATAAAAGTTGACCCGAACAATTATCTTGAAATTATTTATAGAAAAATCACAGGGAAGCTACGTTACAGTAGTGGGAAAGTGACTGCAGTCGAGACATCAGGTCAGAACCAATAATATTGCAGATTTACATATATATATATATATATATATATATATATATATATATATATATATACAGGTTTTCAGATAAGATGTTTAGCTATCTTGGCACCGTTTGTCGTCAGAATCACTAAAAAACCCTTTGAGTTATACAGCTAGAATGAGAACATGTTGCAATCGTTTTGTGTCAGCCCCACTGTCTTTTCAACTGAGCAATGGCGAGAGGAAAATGATTATTCAAGCATTCAATAATGGTACGAACACTCATATTCTGTCTTTCGTCTTTAAAGTACATTCAAGAACCGCCAAGAGAAGTGTGAATAAATTTTTAAAAAGTGTCCAGTAGCGAGGAAAACTGGATCTGGAGGTCACAACAAGAAGATGGATCATCATTTCCACTTTGAGCTAAAGAGATCGACTAGAAAACATCCATAAGCCGTTTGGCACGTGAGAGAGTAGTTTCAGCTATAACAGTCCAAAGAGCAGTGAAAAAAGATTATACAATCGTAAGTAAAACTTTTGAGGCACAGTGTTACTCCAGAACAGAACGTTAGAAGGTTAGAAAGGGTGAAGAACATCTTGAATAAGTAGGAAAATGGTCCCGGTATAATATATATATATATATATATATATATGTTTTTTAAATTTATTTCAATCCTTCATGAGCTACTGATCCTTAGCTATGATTAATTAATGATGAACATGTCATTTTTGTTTATGATCGAATTCATCACGATTCTTCTGTTAAG